CCCCCGCCCCCCCCACCCCCCCCCCCCCCCCCCCCCCCCCCCCCCGCCCCCCCCCAAATAAAAGTTCACCACATCAAAACGTACGGAGACATATCGATTTCTTATTGAAAGAAAACGGCCATGCTACGCTATTGAGAACATATTCAATTTTCGCTCGTTCAGATAGCAGAAGAATTGCTACTGTATGAAAATCGTTACACATATATTTTTGATAGTCAGAAGTATTTCATCAAACAAGAAAGTAAATATTCAATGACGCAAGAACTTAGATTATGACTAACGCAAGTGTGTGCAAACAGATATCAGTCCGTATTTAAAAGTAAGCTTCAATTCATTTTCATATAAAATGACGTTTCAATATGTGTAACGATCTATTCTAGAAGTTACAAACCCTCGAATGAAATAAACCTCAAAGGCACCGTCTTGTTAGCTTCTCATCCATACTCTTATCTATTTCTCTTTCTATTTTTCACTACGCAAGAGTACTAGGGATTTTGTCCTTGGCTCGCGCTTAGTACCAGATTCAATACGCAACATCATCGTTGCAATATTTATCCCACCATCGGGTTGGTGAACGTTAGCATAGCACCAATACGTACTCCTTATCTTATACACTTTCTTGTTTTTTCTGTTATTGCGTTTACGGTATTTCTCAAGGTCTTTGAATGCTAGAAAATAGTATATCAGGAACGAAAGAAATACAGGAGGGTACGATTTTTTATATTGAAATAAAATATACATTCAACACCAAACATAACAGCATCCATAACATCAGAAATTGTTACAATGTGAAGTTGGTATTGAATAAAATTCTAAATTTCACCTTCCATAGCGTAATCTTTCAGTATCGACTTAAAGTCGCCTGGTATTAGATATTTTATTTTCTTCCAGTACAAAGAATATAGTAATTGATACAAGTAACGTTATGCAAGATAATTAATTTTTTTTTGTGTCGTTTATTCTATAGAAGATGAAATTCTCCTCCTACAAAGGAAATGGGTAGCTTACGTTTCGTCTCGCTCATGTACCGGAGATCGTAATGTGTTTACCGGATGTTCGGGATAGAGTATTTTTGCTATATTTAATGTAATATCTAGAGATCGTAATAAACACCGTCGGCAGTTCGGAAGGAAATCCCAAGGGTACTTAAACGTGGAGTCCGTAAAAGAATTTATAAGGATATTATAATTGATATAAAGATTTCCTGCTCTTAAAGACAATAATAGCTTGCATTTTTGATTACATCCATGATTATATAAGTAGACGATTAGTCTTTCTTTACCTATACTCCGTGTGCTATAGTCTCTGAAGTTGTTTCTAAGGGTATAAGTTGATTAAAAACCAGCAGTTGCCGAAAGCAACAACTGAGCAAGCGGCTCCTAAATCTTATTTACGTTCAACTCCAATATTGAATCGTCTTAGAATTACCCCAGCGATCATACTACTGCTGCTTCGTTTTCATCTTGCGCATCATCATCTCAATCTGATCTCATTGTTTCAACATCGAAAAATAAACAAATAGCCAGGTTCAAACAAACGTGTACATTCATCGAACAATAAATAGAACGATGATGTACATTAACACTAGAGTTATTATAGTAAACAGAAGCGCAATCAAAGCTGCTTGAAGCCGCCGAAACGCTGACTATACATGATTTTAGGTTGCGACTATAGCGTAGCATTTCGTATTTTCTCAGAGGGAAACAAAACCTGAACATACTTGAGAAAGCCGTGGCGTCTTTTTTTTTATTACGGTTTCCACGTCTTTGCCATTTCGAACATCCGGACATTCTGATTACGATCTCCAGCCTAAATTTGATGTTTGTAAAGAGAAAAATTTACATGAAGTTCGGAATCAATTCTGAAAATAGCTTTTTCAATGGTTATATCCTATGAAAAAGCTATTGCCAGAATTGATTCCGAACACTATCTCTTTTTTTTCATGTCACGAGATCGTAAAAACAAATTATTTCACCGAAGTTCGTAAAAAAGAGATGACACGAAGTGTCATTTTCTCAAGAAAGGGTCAATATTAATTGGAGCTATTGAAATTCGGCGAGTATTCAGTAGCTTCTTTTTTTTTGCGAAAAATTTCCTATGTTTTTTTCATTACACGCTTGAAAAAACAATACATTCCGAGAACAGAAACTAATAAAATATTTGTCTTTCTGTTTGTTTAAAAGAGCATGACAGCGTAGGCTTTTCGATTAGACTGGGACATTATTAATAATAATGGACTTTTTAATGAATTGAGAGCTTTCTGAAATGTTGAACACTGCTGCGCTCTTTCATATGAAGAAAATCAGATATATGTGAGATGAGCTATTTTCAGCTTTTACTAGAAAAATGTGTTTCTCGCCAAGAATTCGGCATATGATTGCTTTGTAAAAGGACGCATACGCCTTGCTATTGAGTGTTTCTATTTCCTTCACTATTTTTGATACCAAGTTAAGTAGCTATCATTTTGAAATTTAGTTTGTATCCATCTATAATAGTTTTAAAATACTTGAAAATCATGTGTATTCAAACTAATGGAACATTTGATCGAAATCTCATGACCTTTAACTTGTAAGAGTAACTTTTCATTAGATAAGCGAACAATTTTTATTTTCTCACAGTCATCAGGGACGAGATGTCAAATGGAGAAAGTAAAGGCCTTGTCCTTGGCGTATAATCAGTTCTATTCGACTACTTATTCATAGTAGTAGTGATTATGACTTTCATACAGCATCGTAAAATCAGATTGATATTGTCATTGCACAAGAAATAACGTATTGCAAATCATTTTATAAGAAAACTATTGCATGATATCGTGTTGTCTCGACTGATCATCCTTCAGGGAGAGAGTGCAAGATTTAATTTTTCGCAGGTTCAAAAGAAAATCAACCACATAAAACTGCCCTACCCAGCAGACTAATGCAATGTACCAGTCATAGTATAAACGATAAGGAATAATCTTCTTTTCGCCCTTAGCCATCTCTTTTCTATACAATACACAAAGATGAATGTGGGTATCCGATTTTCTGCTCGTTGATAACGGTGACGTATGTTTGCGTTTTTGCGAGAAACTCGAAACCATTCTAAGGTCGATATTGGATACCCTACTGCTTCCATTTACTAAAACTACTTGAATTATATCAGAATTCATCCGGCATGCAATTAACCATAGTTTCGCACAATTGCCTATCGATAACGTTAGATCAAATATAGTATTTGATTGCTACAGTTCGTTGGCTCTAGTCAATAGGTGCAAATAACACTTTCTTTTTTCTACAAAGAACTCGTACGGAGTATTAATTCACCTCGTCAGTGTATCGGCATGCGCATAGTCACAGCTAATCCATTCGTTGATCTCATAATCGGGGTAGATTTTCAGTGTTTAATTTCTTTTTTTAATAGAAAAAAATGACACTGTCAAAGTAGCACAAGTTATGAATGTAATATGAGAATCATATTTACTAGACGTGCTTAACCCTGAAAAATATAAAAGAGAATCTAAGCGATATTTCTCTTGAGAGAACTTGAAAAATGACTTCCACCTACAACTAATGATTTATAGTAGTAGAATTATTCTAAAAGATCTCGAGAAGTAATTTGATACTTTAAAAATAAGTTTCGAGATCTTGTATTTTATTCGACTAAAAGTAAATTGAAGCGTAAAAATGCGCGCAAAATTTCTTGTTGTAATTTTCTAGACTATTCAAAGAGAAACTTCGAGGATTTTTTTTATCTAGAAATGTCCCATTATCGTAATTATTTGGGTCAATTTTTTACCTATTTTCTTAGTACTTCTTCTCTTACTTAAATAGAACTCATTTCTAGATAAACGGATTTGTTTACCGAGTCACTTTATAATCCAGAAATAGAAAATGTTTATCGCATAAAACTGATACGAAATTTTATCTTCTCTAGCCAAATGAGTTTTGTTTTATTATGATTCGAACAGTAAGTATTGATTTCATTGTAAATCTTTAATTACAAACTCAGCTCAATAGTTATTTCTTTCACTGACGTCACCTCTATTTCTGGCGAACAGATGTCCGGTAATGAGTCAATATACAAATTATTATACACGATGCGATACGGTAAAGCAAGAAAAAATGATTATGATACTTTAGGACAAGACGAAGTCCATCTATTCTTCTGATCATAGAAAATGTTGTATAGGTTTTCATTATTTAATTACCTCACTTTTCTTTAGAGACATAATCGTGTATGTTACACTAGCTAATAAACGCTTTCAAAAGATTGACTTCTTATAGCACCGAAAAATCGATTACTTTTCCTAAGTAATTATATAGCTACATAGAATTCATTATTATGATCAGTTGTTCATGAATTTCATCGTTTACGAGAATTTTACGCCAGATGACTTTTTCTTTTGCATTTATTATTAATCGTCTTTTGCTACAGGCATACTTTTAAATCTATTGATGTTTCTATAATTAGTATCGATTACTAGTGATTAAATTATTTTACACATTAACCAAGTCTTTCAACGAGATAAACGGCTGTTGGATGTATCCATATGACAACAGTGAAAAATGTAATCAATAGTAGTAGTAGCTTTTACATCTTTTTCACGTGATCCTTCATGGATTAGTAACCTGTTATCAGCTCTTTTTGCACCGATGTAATTGTACGCAATAACATGTGACAATGTAGGTGTTGCTATTTCGCTCTTCATCAAGTTATCGCGTGAGAACGAGATGCAGACCCAACCTCGCTCTGATTTGCGTTCGCTTTTTTTTATAACTATATAGCTGCGTGCTATGTCTTTCTTACTTCAATGAGTCCGAAAACGAATTGACGTTATAGAGACTCGTGTTTTTTTTTGTTTTTGAATATTTATCCCGGTATTGAGATTTAATTTAACTTTTCTATCGATAGTCTTTCCATCAAATATAGATAGAACAGTCAGAAATAAATAAATAAAATAATTATGTGGTTTATTTTTTGATATATGACGACAAGACGCAATCAATGCATATTTGTTTTTAAATGTGCATTATGTTTTTTGCAGTGGTGATTGAATCATCTTCGATACGCGTACCACGTGAAACAATACCAAATTTCAATGTAAAAATCATCCATGAAGATCCATGCGAAATCTATTACTGCTACGATGATCATGAGTACGCAATTATATAACATAATAATCGAAATATGTTTACGCTTAGTTCACCACCATTCATTATTTTGTTTTGCACGGTTGTCATTTTTTCTCGCTACAATAGAGCGCATTCATGTGTGACACTATCATCATGCACGCACATATACGATTTATATGTTGATAAAATTTTGCCAACATAGGAAGAAAAATATATTACTTGTGTATTCTATTCCGTAGGTAAATGTGTTGCAGCTGAATTCGTCGTCGTTGAAATACTAGTAGAATCATGTAAATTCAAAAGTTTCTTGGTGAGCAGTTTCAATAAAACTAATTTTTAGTACTGGAATTTGATGTTATTTTATGTACCCGTAGTTCCAAATATGAATACCAAATTGTAGATTGAGTTACTATTTTAGATATTTGACTTTTATTGAACTTGTCTTCAAGAATGAATCATTTTATTATGAAAATAATGTGATGCAAAGCTAGGTAAGTTCTGTTTTTGTTGTCGATGCATATTGTAGTATCCAACATCTTTTGAATGATATAGTCAGTCTCCGAAAGTCTAATCTTACATAAAGTTCATTTGCACTTACGAAATCGTAACTACCAACATGAGTTCGGTAAACTCTAAAACCGATTGTAAAGGTATATGCTGAAAGGGGCTCAAGAGCGTGTGTCAGTGACGGCGGAGTCGCTGAGACCCATGAGGCTGAGCCTCACTTGCTTTTGTACTGATTATTGCTATTTTTATTCTTGCATCAAAGTAGGAGCAAAGAAAAGTATATTTTCGTATATTCCAATCTTCTTTTTTTTATACTGACCGTTTTTATTTTTGCTGAAGTTCAATAAAAAGAAAACTTATTTTATGCTTGATGCTTTCATAAAATTCCACATTAGAAAAAAAATGTTATGAGCCTCACCGCTCCGCCGCCCCTGGTGTGTGTAGAGATCAGGGTTGCCACCTCATCAGGTCAGAAAAGCGGAAAGTTTGATCAAAAAGAGCGGGAAATAGCGGAAAATAGCGGAAACAAAAATAGAAAAAACGGAAAGCTGCTTTTTGCTGACCTTTCACATTTCCAAGAGTTTAAGTAACCTTGTTTTATTGCTCATAGTACTACTTTGTTCGCAGTTCCACAACATAATAGACAACTCATAAAAAATATCAGGGCGTACCTGGCCTGAAACTCCAAGAAGAAAAGATAAACGATTTCCGGTCCAAAAATAAATATATTTTTTCTGTCAATTCTTTTTCTACTCATCTTTTCTAAAAGTGCCATACAGGGAAAATGTTTGTATCGTCCCAAAAAATGTTCGTTTTGTGATAGTGAAATGGCCTTATTGCGACTGTCTGTTCACTATTTTTCGCAGAGAATATACCACCGAAGGCGACTCTTTCTTGGCACAGCACTTTAAAAGTTTATGCGAAAAGATGCAATCGAAAAAACTGAAACTCATTTTTCAGTGTAACAGAACAAAAAATATATATTCCTTTCCACATATAGCCACCGAATGCGACTCCTTTTTGGCACAAATTAAAACATTGGCCCGAAAAACGTACAATCCAAAACATAAAGCTCGCTTTTTACAAGTCTGAGAGGATAATGTTGTTCTTTACATTCAGCTGTCGAATGTGGCTATGCTTTCATCTATTATATTAACAAATGAATAAGAACTTGAAAGAAATTTTCTTTTCTTCACTGGTATTTCAAATCCAGGTGAATGTATTTCATAGTGGAGGCCAACATGAACACGAAATGTATTTCACTAGAAAAATTTATTGGAAAATCTATCATGTGAAGCGAAAATTTTACAAGAATTGTATAGAATTAAACGTTAGAAAATTATTTTCCAAGAAATTTTCGTCTAACATCACGTTATCTAGTTTCTTGCATGGCTAAGTTTTCGATTAAACAGCGAAAGTCTTTTATATGAAAAAGCGGAAAAAAGCGGAAAAGCGGAAGAGGTGGCAACCCTGGTAGAGATGCACTTTCAAGTATATCGTTAAGATCGATGAAAGTCGGTAAACTGATGAAGAACCTATGGTTGTAACAGTCCACACGAACTTATAGTATGTTGCTTGTCCTTAACTGAAATGACTGTGATTCACTCTTCTAGTTGTTATTCATACAAAGCTCTGCAGGCTTTGATCTCTTCTTCTCTTATTTACATTCCTAACATACACTATCAATTTGTCCTTCACCGATACATAGTTTACAATCACTACGATCTTTTACGTTTACACACTAGAGAATGGCATTCTTCATATGCCATTGCTAATAAGCGTGTTATTAACTCTACCCTTTCGATTTGCCCTTTACCTCATATTATTTACACTGTATCATCAAAGTTCATCTATGCCACAAAATGGTATATAAGGGACGAGAAAAATACAGTATAGCGCGATTCTTGATAGTTTAATAAAGTATTAGTTAAATAACACTTTTTACAACATTTACTACATCAGAAATCGTCACAACGGTGATGACCGGTTTTTTTTATATTATTCAGACGGCACTATATTAAGACAATCCAGCAATGCTAATGTACCGGTCTTCATCGTAGGTTTTTCGTACTCTTACCGGCTTCAGAATTTCCTCACCGTTGTATCTCAAAGCGTGTGTGTGTGGATCTCTTCTGTTTGTTATCCATTTACACATGCACACTTAATATTTTGCGTCACTACTATACTTGATCACGAGTCTGTTTATCATCAAGCATTTCATTACTCATAACATATTTACAGAAAACTGATACTCATACGCCCACTTACACCCTTTGAAACACAATATTTGATAGAAAACTGATTCATTCAAATACAAAATATGTAAAAATTACTCTAAGCATACATTTTCAAGTACTCATTTAGCACGATGAATACCACTGAGTTGTGAGATATAAGTTTTAGTATAGAGTGCGACGTATCAAGGTATGCATCACTGCTGCCACCGTGTGAGCCTCTAGTTCGTCTACAATAGGGGTGCACCAAATCCAAATCCAATTCTAGAATTCGATTTGACTGGAGTTGACAGGAATTGGATTTGGATTTGACTGGAGTTGACAAGAATTGGATTTGGATTTGACTGGAGTTGACAGGAATTGGATTTGGATTTGACTGGAGTTGACTGGAATTGGATTTGACTAGAGTTGACTGGAATTGGATTTGGATTTGACTGGAGTTGACAGGAGTTGGATTTGGATTTGGATTTGACTGGAGTTGACAGGAGTTGGATTTGGATTTGGATTTGACTGGAGTTGGATTTAGATAGGGGTGTCACAATACCAAAGCTGCATTGGGGTATTGATATTGATCCCGGTATTGGTATTGGGGCTGATAGCAGGTCGATTGAAAAAATCATCTTTCTGCGTTGCCGAAAAACATGAAAATTTTCGAAATCTGGTAATCCAGTTCGATTCCTTGACTCCGAAAACCTTCGATCAAACTTTTAAAAAAATCGGTATTCTATCAAAATACCCCACCTTGGCTAAGATAAATCAAAATCAAAATTTCGAAAATGTTTCAGCTAAGTTAGATTATTTTGATAAAATAGCGACTTTTTTAAAAGTTTGATCGAAGGTTTTCGGGGTCAAGGAATCGAACTGGATTATCAGATTTTGAAAATTTTCATGTTTTTCGGCAATCAGAAGTATGCTTTTTTTTCAATCGACCTACTATCAGGCCAATACCAATACCCTAATACCGTATTGGTATGATGACATCCCTAACTAAATCCAACTCCAGATCAAATCCAAATCCAATTCCTGTCAAATCCAGTCAAATCCAGGAATCAGATTTAACTGGAATTGGATTTGGTGCACCCCTAGTCTACAACCAATTCGCAAGACTCACACGTACACTCTCGCCGTATTAACATTTTTACTAAGACAATTGTTGAAAAAATATCATAACTTCGGTGAAACATATGCGCTTGTCAATTTCCAATATTGCCTTGTTTTTTGGACAACACTGTTTGCTGTATTCTCACTGTGATCGGTTTCTGGAGTTGATCAAAACTTGTTATTATAGATGTGGACATAAGTTTAAATGTTTTTCATGAGCTAAAACGCAATAAGTATGTGCGAACTGCAGGATTGAACTGGACACAGGTTACAAATAATGTCAGACGAACTGAATATCAGTTAGTGTAGATATACAAAGGACTCTTACGTAACTGAGACCGATGCATACCAGATCATAATATGATTCAATCAACCCCCATGCTTAGAAAGCATATAGTGCTTAGTCGTGATATGCTAGCCTATTGTCGGCCACGTTTGCACAGAATAACTTTCGAATTATGCCATTGCTATGGTGTGGGTGTTGGTGTGACAGAATGCTTAAATATGGAATCTACAGTGTTTGGCCCGATTGAACACGAAGCTGGATCCTAGTCTAGGGATTGCTGTACGCAGATGGCAAACTGACTAATAGACGACGCAAAGAAAGACACAATTTCTAGCATGTATGTATACACATATAGTTAGATATAGAATACAATTATTGAATGAAAAAATTTATCTTATAAACAAAAGCGCCACTTAGTTTATGAATTGATAACCAGAAATCGCCCCGTTTAAAAATATATATGCGAGCATAGTAAATATTTACCCGTAGAACGACAGCTACCGAGTTCGATAAGAAAACCGTGTTAATCTTTGTGTAGAAGATGTAATTTTTATTGCAGCCATTCTCTAATAATTGCTTTGACGCTTCATTTATGTATAAAAAGCATTTTTATCACCAACAACAATCAGGCTGGCAGCACAAATACGGGAGTGATTTGAAAAACACAAAAAAGTGACGATATTTCGAAGTTTCATTGGTTTCAAGTACTAAGCCTGAACTATGATGGCAGCTTGCCAAATAATCCTGTAATCTATTCGGAGCGAAGATACTTATCGGAGACTTTCGGGGCTATTTTTGTTTTCCTGCTCCGTTTATATCTACCTTTTTACTATAAATAAGGATACGATCAAGAATATGTGCTCAAAAATAATCTCAAAACAAGCGCTAAGAACATAGCACAAATCTTACGACCATATATTTGACCTTTCTTTTGTTTCTACATGCTCATTTATTATGCTAGTAGCTGTGCTTCGAAGCTGTCAGGGCTCTCATCTCATATACTTATAAAGTGAATGATCTTCAACGATAGCTACGCATATATAATAGCTCAGTTGCATACGAGCATTGCATATGCATTATTATGTGAATTCAAGAAGAAATGCAAGCCTCTCTTCTACAACTATCAAAATTTAACCAATGTCGATGCATAAATAATACTTGAAGAACACATATGGAGCCTTTACAAGCGCAAGAAGCACAATCAGCATCACAAGTATGCAAATGATGGCATCAGAGTGTGTTTTAATGGAAAGAAAATGTTGAAGAATATGCTTACCGCCTGACAACGAATGAAATGGCTGCAGTATCTGAGGAGAATCGTCCTTGTCCTTGTACTCAAATGAATTTACAGTATATAATTACAAAGAAAACTTCTTCTGATTAATTTTTTGCCTAGTATTGTGACTTGTATATGCTTTGTAATTTGACTTCTGTATTCGACTAAGACACGGTTTAATAGATGAATCAACATGTAGTTGCCTAGTAACTGTCAGCAATCTAGAATAAAGCTTTCATGACTAATTGTACACTTCACATTCACTTAAGGGCCGTGAAGCATTCATAGAGAAAAGAAAATGGTGAAAGAAACAAGAACATCGACGGACGGCCGATGTGCTCACATTAATATGTTAAAAAAGAGCATGTATGTGGGTGTACGAAAGAATGAGAAGAGAGATTATAAGCAAAAGAAAAAATAATGCATCGCACATGGTGTGTTTATTCTCGCTCTTGCTATTAGCTCACATCCATTTCTTTTTGTCTCCTCACTAGCTCGCTGTAAGTTCACGACTACAGGTCATCAAAAGTTCGAGGACTACCCTTTTCAAACATAGAGCACAATGAATTGCCATTTTCTTTCACATTTGTCATTTCTTATCTTATTCGTATTTCTTATCCCTATTGCTATCTAGTTTTATGCTCACTTTTCATATCACCACGCTGTGATAAAGTATCTGTGCAATTTTTTTGCATCACAGTCCACATCGTAAAAGTAAGAAGATTTTTTTCTTTGTATGAGTTTAATTAAGTCAGGAATTAATTTTCAGCTTATGTGCATCTTTTTCTTACTCTAATCTTATATTTACTGACACTACGCTTTATTTTATGACGTTTCTTTATCCATCTTTCAATCAATTATATTGTCCTTGTCAATATTGGTATACTTATATGAAGTTTACCTATTCAACGGGCACAGTAATACATAGGTTTCCTATATACATATATATATGCGTTCAACCAGCAGAAGCAGCTAGGTAAGCCCACCAGTGTGACTTAGTTAAAAGCAAATATGGCAATCAACAGCTTACTTTAAGGAAGACTTACGGAGTTCAGATGTTTCTATGGCAGCACTTGTTAATTATGCGATTCATTTTGTGTCATCAAAAGAACCTAACTTAGAACTTCTGGTTTCTACAAGCAATTTGTTACATATCTGTTTGAAATCGTTTTTGTCTATGTCAAGAAATAATACTTTTTCAAACAGAAAACTAATTGGATGTCACGTATAACTGGTAGAATCATGCGCCCTAAACTGAAGCTTATTGGCGCCGTGACTTGTGCAGAAAATTTGAATTAATGCTTTGACGGTTTGTATATCTTTTATGAAACTTTCAAGAGCTTACTATATATACTTTCATTTTCATGAACCCATACATGGCTCAGCAGACAACCTAGTTTTCGAGCGCTTATGAAAATAAATTATAAACCACTTAGGAGTTTATTATTTGTATAGCAGAATACCTTTGATAAAAATTTGCACCAGGGCTTATTAAACTAATGATCCCTTTTATTAGGTGTATTATTCTAAGCTTCTTGTGTAATAATGCAGCATATATTAGTGCAATGTGAAATCTATTGAGTCAAACATCCTACACTGTTAGCAGTTTAGAATAAATAAAGTCTTAATCGAAATCTTCTATTATGCAATTGTAAAGTTCCGCTTTAGTGAAAGTCTGCTATTAAAACTCTAAATCAATGTGTATTATGTAACTTAACGAGCTGGATACATAGTAGATGGCTACTGGTCTAGAGCTTCTCAATTCTTTTTTCACGTTATCTAATTGTTTTTAGCTTCATGCAGTGGTGCTCACGGCTGAATCTTTTATATGTCATCTTCTGTTGCATATCGCTCAATGGTATGGGTTATGTAATCATGCTGCGTTTTGCTCCATTTTTTTATATTTTGACATTTTTCAGTATTCTCCAGAAATATTGAGCTACTTTACAAATGCTCAAGAATCTAATGCATTTAAAAGCATGAATATATAATTTTGTAGAAGATCCACACCCTCAATCCTATAATCGAAGCTGCTTTTCCTATCAAAAGTGAATTAAATGGCATAACAGCGGTATGTTTCTCCTCTTCATATGTAGCATGGTCCTTTCTGTGATCCTAAAGCTACAGAATTCTCCAAACCATAAAAAAAACTGGACGAAGCTGGTGGAAAACTTCTCCGCCTAATATATATATATATATGTGTATGCTAGAGTTTTTTCATGACAATTTTCAAAACATTTGATTGTATCGGTGTTTATTCCACTTATCAAACTAGTTATTACTGACGGAAAGGGGTATTTTTATCAGACAATTGAATCCGTTTAATTTTGTATTAGCCAGAATGAGTATTTATTGCTGAATCATGCGTTCGTAATATATTAAACAAGTGAGGGGAGGGGGTAGATAGAGATAGCTGGATAGGAACAAAACAAAAGAAAAAAATAGAAAAACTATCAAGAAAGATAATAGCATATAAACATGAAAAGCAATAACGTAAGCAGAAAATCAAGTACGAATACAGTATATGAGAAGAGCAAGACAAGGACATCAGATGACAGGTGATGACAAGGGAACGTTAAAACATCGCCCATAAACAATCAACAAGACTCAGTAGTGGAAGTAGATAATGGCATACTGTAAATAAGCTGAGAACGCCGTAGAAACATATGGAAGTGCATATCTGCTAAGTTTTTATTTATGATGACAGAAGTAATCAAGTTTGGAAAATCCTGCTGATATCGAGTACGAGTTTATTTGAACGAAATAAACCCAATCTGAATCATTGTAATCAATAACATTTTCTGTTCCATTTTATATTATGCATATCTAGTCTTTCACAGAAGTAGAAGAGGTATTAAAAGTACAGTGCATCTTATGTTGACTTGAAATTTCTATAGTTGTAAAACCTTTTGTACGCATAGAAGGTTATAAATACGTAGTTGAGCATACACTAGCTGAGTCTCAAACATCCACTTAGAGCTTTCTCGATTTTTTAATGCTATTATCAATATATATCACCAGTATATTAGCTGTAGTTTGTTTTGTAGAAGTTTGCCTGGCACCATGTCCAAAAATAATACGTCACCTTAGAAATCGAAATCCTACGTTTCATAGACATGTTCACATAACATAGTTTTGGTATAGTCTTAAAATACTCAATTTTTACTTTTGTTCGATATGAAACCTTATCATCTATATGTAGATAATAAGAAACATATCGAAATCCCTGTCGTGCTCGATGAATAAGTAAAAAAGACTATTTGTTTGTTTGTCGTAGATTTCGACATACGCTGGAAGAGAATAGACTGTTTTTCTTGCCACCTGACTCAACGCTGCCTGACAACTATGCTTTAAACCACTGCAAATATGGCAACATCGAAGCTTTGCATAGTTTTGACAGTAATTCATTGCGAGATAGAACCAATCGAGAAGTTTATTTAATTCTTAGAGCGTAAATAACTTGAAAAATAACGAATGCTATTTTACTTGCCGGTCTAACAGATTGCCAGATCAATAAGTACGACTAACTACCAACACATGACCTAAAACACCGGAAAATATAAGCAGTATTCCAACAGAAAAATTGTCGTATTTTCTACAGCAACTTTCGCATCATCTCTTGTTCTTGCCGCTAAAAACGATCATCGACCACCGGGGGGGGGGGGGGGGGGGGACAAAATTTTTTCGGGGGNCCCCCCCCCCCCCCCCCCCCCCCCCCCCCCCCCCCCCCCCCCCCCCCCCCCCCCCCCCCCCCCCCCCCCCCCCCCCCCCCCCCCCCCCCCCCCCCCCCCCCCCCCCCCCCCCCCCCCCGAAATTTTTCCGGTCGGAATACGGCTTCCAACTTTCGCCTTTTTCAGTGCTTTCCTTCTAGATTTGGTGATTTTTGGAACCCGAAACTATTGACTTGAGTTTAGACTAACAGTGGTATCTGAAAGGAAAAAACCTTGTGCCAATTTTAGATATAAGATTTGCTTTTGTGGATAATGTACCGCTTTGTTTAAGTTCTTCATATCAATAATCGTGCAGTTTGCATTGAAAACGCATGTTTATATAGGCAACGAGAGAGACAGAGAAGAATCAAATAAAGAATAAGATGAAACGGAAGAGATTCGTAGACCGAAAGCATGGCAGTGATGAAAGTAGACACTTGTCTTGGTGCCGTAAGATTGAGCGATTAGCTGATAAACGATATATAGTTATACAAGAGGAAGAGTAAAGTATCACGTATACGATAATGACCCATGAACGTTATATCATCATTCATCTGTAGTCAAAGAAATCAATACGTAAAAGTAAAGAATAACAAATAATCAAGTCAACCGCGATTATCAGAAACCTAGCGTTTGTGGGTATGCTAAGCTTTATGTACCCATGTCAGAAAATACGGTATCGTTTACAGTGCCGTATTACTGCATCCAGTACTGCGGAAAAAACGGACAGTTTACTGCCGTAAAGATATCGTTTTTCTACCGTTTACTTTCAGAAAACGGACCATAAACGATATCCATTTTGATCGCCCTGAGTAGTTTTTCAGACCATAGAAAATAGTGCCTCGCTAGTTATGGATCACGTTTTTTTTCATATAAATGTTTTCCCGCTGTCATAAATACAATTAACAGAGGTAAGTTGGATATCTAAGTTTTACGATGATGTCACTAATAGTGTGCTATAAAGCATAACTACAGGTTTACTTGTAACGACATCTATTTCAAAAACAAGCTATTCTTTTTCGTCTATATTTCAATATTAGTAATGAAAATGGTTTCGATGGTGAAGTAGAATGAAATATTTTGCGAAATAATGCAAAAGTCGTGTTCACTCTATATCTGTTTCGGCATAGGCTGGATACTTATTCATTGTTCATGTGCACACCGTTTGTATCATGTGTGTTATAATAAGTACATTTTGTATAACACTGTTTCAAGTGCATTTTTCTTTGCGTTCTACTTGTTTACCCATTCGTAGGAACAAACTGAAGGGCTTTGTTTGTTTGTATACTTAGCTTAATGCAAAACCCTATCATTCGCTTATCTATCAAATGTTCTTCTTTCCTATTCGTCCGTTCTTTAACCGATACTATTTTTATCTCTACGATCGACCAATTCTATGGAGTAGGTTGGGTTTCACTGTTATGTCATGCTTTCTTTCTGATGATAGCTATGTCATTAAATGCCTATTTATTTTCTTTCCTTTTCTCTCCTTTTATTTTCGTTTCACATAGAAGAAAAAACACGCTCGTTACTGGACTATACTATGAACGTATATATATATATATAGATATATATAGAGTGTACGAAACGACTCGTGCCCGATTAGTCCGGTCAAAATATAAAACATAAAAGCCGTTAATGTATTTGGCGACATGTCGCTAATGTCACGATACTATCTAATATTTATTCACATTCTAGACTATAATTAATCCTATAAATAAGTGCTTAACGGTTATGTCATATGTATTAAATCACTTCATCAATAATCAGGTATTTAATTAGAATATTTCTTAAGTTATTTACTGATTTATATGTTCTTATAAGTATATTTAACGATGGTAAAAGATGAACAGTCAAGAAATATCAGTCAACCTCCAAGAATATCACCAAGTGTATCAGCTGTATCTTTAACCACACTTCCAACACTACCAACTACTATGTTTCAAACGACGCCAGGGGTTTTATCTCGACGACTTATTGATCTTAATGCTATTGATATTACATCTGTGAAGGGTCAATTTGCATGGGAAAAATTACCACAAAGTGATGCCTGTATGCCTGTGATTTTTCGGTACGTAAAAAATGATTTGTCTTTTTTGTTATTTTGAGAATTGAAAACTAAACATCGGTAGGCATTGTTCTCTATTGAGATCATTAGATATTAAATGTTCACATATCTAGTTTGAAAGGAATTCATACAAAGAAAATAGAAATTCAGTTACGTGATGTTTTTTTTATAACAAACAGACTGAAAATAATGAAAAAAGTTCTTTTCTATATGTTCTATGATAAATTCTATGATAAAGTACGATTGAAAATCATTTTAAGTGCTTCAGAGTAATTCAATTATTGTAAACCTATGAGAGATTGTTTGCATTAAAATTTCAATCATCATAATTTTAATTGTGTTTATTTTGTGCCGTTATTTACTTTTCTTTTTCTATCCACGTCTTGAACTACTGAGAAAAATGATTCACAAGATGAAGATCTAATCCAATGAAAAATTATTTTCTACCCTTTACTTGTATAACATCGAAAAAACAATTAGATAAATGTTTTTTGCTGAGAACGCATTCGATTATAATTTCCTATAACCGGCACAGCAATTTATTTAAAAAGGCTTTCATTAGTGTTGAACATTTATTGTAACAACTATTGAATAAAATTACGGTTTTTTCAATGTATTTACAAAAAGACTTAGAACTGTTTCAGTTAGAAATTATATGAACAATGCTTTCGTATGAAAAAAAGCTAAGTTTATTCGAATATACATTATAATATTGCATTTTGTTTTTCCATTTTCAGTGGTGAAACAAAGTATTTTTGTGTCCGAATGCTTCGAAAACTATTACCTGATTATCCTGAAGATTTTATTCGTCGTGCATATCAATATCAATATAGAAAACCAATTGATTTATATTCTGTAACGGCATCTGAAGCTGAACTATTAAATAGAATTAATACTCATCATGCACGATGGACCTATGCTCGACAATTATTTAATGCACTCGATGAACTAGTCCGTGTTTCGGATTTTCTACCGTTATACGAACATCTTCGCCATAGTTATAAAGTCGGTACAATTATATCGAATTCTACAGCGCATACATTACGTCAGTTATTACCACCACCACCACTACAACAACAACAACAACAACAACCACATTCAACAGTACAACGTTCATCCGATTATATGACTAATATGCCCATTATTTTACGTGGACAATCGACTATACCACAAGATTTACCTATTCAGATACAACCCTATCGTCCTTCAACAGACTTTTCTCGTGAAAATACTTCACGACCTATAGCACCAGTGCCTAATGTTCCACGTCCTCCACGACCATCGAAATCAATAGGAAATCCATATGCTATTTTACCTATACGACCATCACAACAATATCCGACACCTCCACAACAGCCATTGATACCAACTGTGTCAAGTAGTATCATTCATTCCAAAAATGCAGGTACTTGACGAATTAAAAATAAGTTACAACTGTTCGAATCATTTTTAACCACAATTAAGAGAGAATACTCGTGTCTTTCAGCTATTTTCCAACAATGCATATGACCTAGTCGTAAACATGAAGAACATAACAGTCAAACATTCATGTCGTAGGATCTAATTTTGCACGATACTTAAGTTTTACAGCTGCAGCTATCAATTCATGTTTTGAGTTTTGAGTTATAGTCGGAAAATATCATCGACTACGTTATTAAGACTCCCAATGAGGAGTTTGATGTACGACAAACACATATGTCCTTGTGTCTATAGAACAAAACAATCTATTTGTAATCAACAGGAGTAACCGCATCGTTTTCATAGTATTCAGCATTTGCGCTAATGTTTTTTGCTGCCATAAAAATATATTGCTATAGTATCGAATTTTAATTTAGCGCCTTTAAACATGACTCCGGTATCACTAACATCAGCAACAAATAGTCCTTCGTCTTCTTTATCTCCAACTGTTTCGTCGTCGACTAACGATACTCAATCGTCTACATCACCACCCGTAACTCTTTCATCTGCAGCAAGAATCAATCGAAAAGCATCTTCATCACAATCGACACCAACAACAACTGTATCGTCAAAGGCATGTCCTCTTCATTGTGGTTGGCTACAAATCAATAAACTCTATACACCATATGTATCTACAAGTACAACGAATCATCATTTATATAAAATTCCTGTTAGTCTAATATCATTTTATGATCTACTAAAAAATATAAAAACCGACGGCAGCGATGCAAAAGATTCTTCGTCATCTCTTGCACAAACATCTATTTCATCTCAAGAAATCGAATTGATCAATGCTCTTTGTATAAAACAAAGTATAAAACCATTTGCTGTCGATACCACAATGATAACATTAGCAACATTTTACGAACATTGCTCAGCAAATATTCTTTTCGTTAAAGAATTACCAAGTACTGAACCAAAAGCATCGATTTGCAAAGAATGGTCATCAATCGTACAAATAAATGGTGGCATTTGTCGGCTGCGTAATATCACAACGTTAAATGAACAAACTGTTCCATTTATTGGAAATAATCTATTGAAAAATTTCATGTTATCGTCACAATGTTTATCAACAGCATCGTTAACAAAACCAACATCTTCTGAAATTGAATTTCTACAATTAATACTCTTTTTTAGTAACATATCAATTAATCTATGCAATGCACAACTAGTTGATATTGAATCTGTACAGAAAGAATATAATGTAGATTTGATACTTTTATTTAATGATAAGTTTCCATTAAATGTACTCAACTATCAACAGCAGGGTAAGCCGCAGTCGATGTTTTTTAACAATAATTTTTAACCAATAATATCTAGGTAATCGATCAAATACATCAGAAGGAACCGGTACATCCACAAATTCAGCAACAAATACGGTAGGTTCAAACTACTAATTGAATTAAATCACGTTTGCAATAGTGCAAAAGCATCACAGAGGATTCTTTTTTCATAATTAGAACGCCATATAATCCAAGACAATAGGTAGGATCCATTTTCCGAGCTCCAGGGGTGAAAATATGTGACGTGCTTTACTCATTTAGTACGGAAGCGGAATAGTAGCTTTCCATTTCCTCCAAGCGGCTATGGAATTCCGGTTAGAATATTTTATTAACAATATACAACTACGCTTCGACCCCGGAACTGAATCGGAAATTTTTCTTTTAGCGGGTCCACACGGGAAGTATTTTCGATTTAAGTCTTGCTACAATCGAAAAGAAATTGTCCAGCATTTGAAAATCGACTGAATCTAGACGGATAGATACTCAAAGAATCAGTTTTGATTAAACTCTTTTGATGTATGCTCTGCTTAACAAAAGTAATTCAGTAAAAACAAGAGAATACCTAAACGTTATGTTTATTTTTGGTTAGAAAGACTGAAATAATCTGCTCTATTTCGGAATATTTTACTATAGATTGCTGAATCAACGCCTCCACCATCACCCCCATCGCCTCCAACTGCTCAATCGCAAACAAATAGTACGTCTCAATTATCATTAACATCCTCGACTAATCGATATTATAAAACAATTCAATTTCATGGCCATGAATTAACAGCATATATTTGTTCCGGTCTCGGAACGAATTCTCAACGTGAATGTGTGTCAGTAAAATCTCTATGCAATATTCTCTATCCGAATTCACCATTGTTGGAGAAACTCGAAGTGAAAATGATTCGTCTATTACGATTGAAGAATGTCAATCGATTTCGACCACAAAATCAACAATCAATTGGTTTTACACGTTTAATTGATATAAAAGATGCTGAAAAACATTGGACTTCGCTTGAAAAAGAAATGCGTTCAATATTTCCTAGTAAAAACATTCATTAAAGAAAAAGCAAAAATCTATTTTTATTCTATAGATACTGAAGAAATTCATAGTCGAACAAGTATTTCATCGGTGTCAAACGAAAGTTCAAAAGCAAGTACAGCGGAGAGAATCGAGAAAGATGCTCCACCGTCAGTCGAAGTTAGCAAAGGTGAGAAGCGATCAATCGATGAGCCACTCGAAGAAGAAGATACACCGATATCGGAACGAATTAATAAACGAATACGAATTACCGAAAAAGAAAATGATGAACGGCTGTCTGAAATACCCAACAACAAATCGTCTCCTTTACAAATTGATAAAACAAGCGATGCCAATCAAGCAACTGATAAAAAACGAAAATTACCCTCAAATCGAACAAATAAAGAATCAAAAGCAGCATGGATCAGAAAGTATGATATTGAAGGTTGTTGTATTCAATTGAATAAGTCTGACGTAATGTATGCTATTGGGAGAGATTAATTCTGTAACTTAAGCTTTCTTTTTTTTTCTTCACCTTGATTTTTCCTTATTCTCTTTGTGGATAGTCAGTGTCTACGGAGTAGATAAAGCATTATGGAAAAATAAATCAAGGTTTCTTAGCATTTTTTCTTCTCTGTGTATATTTCATAATGTAGGACTTTTTCTTGTCTTGTACTCTTAAAATTCGAAAAAAAACCATACTACGCCAGTGCGATTCTTACTCTTGTTCTCCTACGATTTCTTTTCTCTACATTTGTACATGAACATTGAGACAAACAAAAAAAAGCTCGTCAATCTTGTTTCTGATCTGTTATTGATATTTTTTTTCTCTTCGTTTTTGTTACTGTTCTTTTTTCTTCCTACATTTGTTATTTACTTTTCATGCGATTAGAGAAATACTGGCTTCAACAAAGAATACAGGATGAACACGATGAGTGATTTTTAACTCGAAACTTGTCTTTTTTTTTTAAATTTCTTTTGGAAATGCAATGTATACATTTGTGGTACGTGGCATCTGAGAGTGGAATATCTACTACCGGGAGAATAGAGCTTGATTTTGGCATGAATTATTTATTATATGTAATGAGTGGTTTGGTACAGCAGTTATTGATCTAAACTATAATGGGATTTTCCGATTAAACAATCAGTTTATTTGAGTTATCTGCTCGATATCTTTGATGTCTCTGCTGGAGTCAAAAAGTAATTCATTTTCATTGGTCGTCGGGATTTCAAATTGGAATGACTTTTGAACAAACTTTCACAGAGCTGGATCAATTATATTGAATGTCAACGAACTAGGAAATTTCTCTTTTGACAAACACAATGGATAATTGGATTGAAAACATAAATTAATGCAGCATTGTTTTCAAGCAAAACCTATGGCCAAATGCGAACGATTATTGTGTTGCTAGAATTAAACGTAAATTAGATGTAGAATAAAATCTTGATTCCTAAAATAAGAATTGGATGTGCTACACTTGAGAGATTGTTTGAAAATTCAAGAATGCCATCAATATGTCCAATGTATTAGTACGTAAAATAAAACTATAATGCTGATAATTAAAATACTGCAAAAAATAAGCCAAGCAAATTAGAAATATGACTCTTAAGCCACAGTTGTTCGGGTAATACCCAATTTCGATAACTAAATCTCATACATCTGGCGTGATACGAATCGCCTAATTCTTTTTCACTGTAGACAGGCGGCAATCTAATACCAGTAAGTTGGCTAAGCGCAATATAGATTCTCATGTTTCACCTTAGTCTACGAAAGATGAAAATTATTAGCTCATCATTCTTATTTTATTTCGCTTTTTTAAATAACGAAACATGTCTAACATGTTCTTTTACTTGTTTGAAATATACTCCGCCATTAGTTTATTAAATTCAATCAAATAGATTTGCCAAAATATCATATTCATCGTAAAAGTCAGTCATGCTCAAAAATTTGAATAGTTTTTGCAAGCAGTAAGTTGAAGTCATGAGCTAAGCAGCATTGACTTAAACTTAGTAGTAGCAAACTGATATTTATTTCAACAATCAAACAACATAATAACAATAAGTTTACTATTCGAGAGAGATAATCAATCTATTACGGATTGATCCCAAAGTGAACAAAATGAAAAATAGGAAAATCAAAATTTGGATAACCATTAGATTAATATGTAAGATTTGTTTCAAGGCAACAAAACACTGCATCCAGGATTGATGGCGCGAGAGAGACCCATTCATTCAGGTAAACTTCATCATGGATGTTTCTTGAGAGATTTTCATTAATAAGAAACATGACTTTATTAGATTACTTCAGTAAACAAAAGCTGTTAGCACAATCCCTGTGGGATTAAAATGTGAAACACGATAGAGCTCCTTTTCTGGAATCCATCTGCCACGGCATGTGGAGCTTCTCTGTCACGGTCTGTATTATGATGTATGGAGTCTCTAGAGACCATCGCAGACCGTTACACAGACTGCATAAGTCATCATATACTGTGACAGAGAGGTTTCACAGGGCATCACGGACCGTTACAGAGTTTAGAAATCATCGCAGACCGTTACAGAGTCTTCAAAACCCATCGCAGGCCGTTATAGAGACTTCAGAAACCATCGCAGACCGTGACAGACAAGGGGAAAACGGCGGATTCCCGGGAATCTCGTTGGAATCCCGGGAATCCATGGAATCCCGTGGAAATCCGGTATACGTCCCAGAAATAACTAATGTAGACGTCTCAAAAACACTTAACATATAGTTTTTGCTCACACATACCAAAAGTCATTGCATTCATTTAGTATGTTAAAGCCCATTCCTCTAAAAAACTATGGTAGAGATACGAAAAATAAGTCATCTTTAAATGAGATATTAAACTCAGTTCACAATGTCGACTCAG